TGATGAGATGATTTACCCCGTGGGGCAGATGGGATTTACCTCGGGGAGAAGATTTACCCCATGCAGCAGATTTACCTTGGCTGTTGTGGGATGCCGATGCTTTCCTGGAAAACCCTGATTTAAAAAAAAATAAGTAAAGAAAACGGGAAAAACACGCAGCTAAAAATAGCCACAGGGGCCGAGATTTACCTCAGGGAGAACAGCTGGAACGAGAAAAATGCTCCTGGCGGAGTAAGTCCGGCGTTACTTTTACCACCCCAGCTACACTGCAGGGGTGCAGAAAAGGGGGTGAAGAGGGGATAAACTAATCCCGGGGAGGAGGAGTGGTGAAGGTCGAGCGCGGCCCCGCTGCGGTGCCGGTGGCCCGGGATCCGGCTCGTTCGCCTCTTGGCAAGCGCCGCAGTCTGATGCAATCGCTGCGCTGACGGAGGCGGCGGTTCCCACCTGTATTTGCCATTGTGTGCCCGGAGCTGTTTGCAGGTGTTTGCTGGCGCCGCGCTGTCTGAGCCGCGCTTCCCTCCTCCTCCTCCTCCTCCTCCTCCTCCTCCTCCTCCCGCTGCTGCCCCGGCCAAGGCCGGGCCCCCCCGCCCGGCTCCGCGCCAGCCGCTGACACAGATGCTGCGCGCACACGCGTGACCTTGGCCAGGCGCGCTCACGCACGGAGGGAGCTTCTGGCCGCTGGGCGTGGGTGTGCACACGCACATGTGTACTCACATACACCCACTGACACGTGTGGTATGAGCATATTCACGTGTGTGTGCATGTACACACGCATGACCGTGCATTTGCACACACCTGTGTGCACTTACACACGTGTTTACAAACAGTGACACGTGCACGTTCACACGGGCAGATATGCATACATGACTGTGTTCAGTTACACACAGCTATCTGCACTCACACATGTGTGTTCACATGCTGATACGTGTCCGGGCACGCTCACACGCATGCATGCATTTACACCCATGCCCACATATACTTACAATATGCCTACAGGCACTGACACCGGTCTGTGCACACTTAAAATACATGCACACATATGAATGTGGTGTGTGCATGCATACATGCCTGTGTGCACTTACACACGTGTGCATGTATGCACAGGAGGGCTCATCCTGCAAACCAACCTGTGTAGGGCCTCAGCACGCCCTTGGTTGGGACTCCCAGAGATGCTGCGGAATCAGAGAAAGCTATTCCTGCTCCCTCCCCACCCCCGTGGAGACCATCCTACGTCGTGGTAGCCAACTCGCTTGTTCCTGTCAGCCCGTGTCTCCCCTCTCCCACAGCATCGGGGCTTTGTCCCACGGTGGGACAGAGGCTCCACGCACGTCCCAAAACCCGCAGGGGACGACGTGGGGTGGAGCCGGAGTGGTACGGGCTCCGCGGCCGCGACTCGCTGCTGCCGTCTCCAGGACAGAGGAAGAAGAGCCCGGCTCAGCGGAAAGGTTCTCCCTTCGGGAAGAACTGGGATTTCAGATTTCCTCTGGTGTACCCTTGGAAACGACCAGGATTTCCCCCGATGCCTATTCCGGCAACAATGGGGATGTCCTCTGGCGTTCCCCTTGTGAAGGACCAGGACCTTCTCCGGTGCCCTTCCAGACGGGACTGGGACCTCCTCTGTTGCTCCCATTCCAGGCATAGGAATGTGTGACATTGGGCTGTGGAGGCTGCTGGCTACCTGTGGCCCATCACAGGCACCCGGGACAGTTGTTCCTCCCATCCTGGGCGGAGCCATACGGCATCAGCGCCCCTTGTACCCCTCTCTCCTGGGGATGTTCCTTGGGGAGGAGCGTTACAGGATGGGATCTCATTTGAGGTCCACAGCCCAGCTTCAGCCCCCTGCTTCTGGGGTATAGTCAACCTCCTCCATGTGCTCTACATCCTGATGAGGTCCCTCATCTCCAAGCTGAATATGCAAAAGATTTTCCAGATCCTGAGGTGAGCAATGGTGTGGGGGCTGTACTCCTAAGCTTCTGGTGGTGCCTTCATGGTTTGGGCAGAGATGCAGTGGCCCGGGTGTAGTGGCACTATTCCACGTGCTGAATCTGCACTGAGAAAAGCAATATCATTACTTGTTCTTCGCCATCAGCTGTTCACCCTGCTTTTGGGGTGCAGTTCAGACCCTCCCAAGACCCTCAGGGAAGAAGCTAGGAGGGGTCTCCTGGCTCCTCCTCCCACTATGGCCAGCACAGTGATGGGCTCTCTTGCTTTGCTCCAGGGTGAGGAGGCTGGAGGGATGCTGATCAAGGGGCTGAGAGGGATGCTTCAGGCCATCCACTAAGTCATCCCACACCTCTGCAACATCACAGAATGAGATGGTCTCTAAGGTCCTTTCCAATCCAAACCCCTCTGGCTTGTAGGGTGGAAGCTGGTGCATGGTCTGCCCTTCTGGACACCTTGGTGTCAAAGGAAGACACAAGTCTGTGTCTTGTGGTATGGGAGAGAACTTTGCTGGTGGAAAGCCATGGCTGGAAAGGCTGGAAAAGGCTTATTGAGCAAATATTAGGTAGTGGGAAACACACCCTTGACTCCTCCCTCAGCTGTCCCTCCGCACAACTGAGGGGATGAGAGCCAACAAGTTTTCCCACCTTCTGGGTTAGCCCTTACCCTAGTGAGGTCACACTAACAACATGTGGGGATGTCACCTCTGCTTTGTCCAAACTGGAGGAGTTCAGGACACAAGCTGCCAGGCCCTCCCCGTACTCCAATGTCCTTATCCCAAGGGTCACCCACTGGAGCGAGCCCAAGTCAGGCAATTGACACAAATTTATCCACTCTGCTGGGCATGGCCTTGTCTTTGTGCACTGGGATGGAGACAGCAGTTGCCTTATTCCCACAGAGAGGAAGAAGAAGGTCTGGGTGGATTGATTTGCCAGGTTCTGCCACACTCCTGGCACAGGGGTTGCCCAGCTGGGGTAGCATCGCTGCTGCCAGGCCTTTTGTTCTGCCTCAAAGTCTCACAGGGTGGGAAGCAAATGTCTACCCTTTATCCAAGGCTCCTGGCATACTTCTGGGTGTCTCTCCCAGCTGAGTTGGAGTCTGGAGGTCTGGTGTCCTTCCTCATCCACAGCAGAGGCCATCTGTCTGTATTCCAATTAGGCTTATTCACACGAAAGTCCACCTCTGCACATGATTATCCTTATCCCAGACCTGAGCATGGAGTTGGCTCTTCCTGAAGAGGAGAGTGATGGTGAGAACCATGGGGAGCAATGAATGGACAGAGGCAACTAGGGAATGGAGAGGAATCAGGGAATGGAGAGGAACCAAGGGATAGAGACGAACAAGGTGATGGAGAGGAGCCAAGGGACAAAGAGAAAGCAACTGCTGTGGCTTGGTGGCTTCAGCAAAATTAAACCCTGGCCTGTCTCAGTGGCTGTGGTGGCCTTTTACTGGTGCCAGTAAGGGTCAGAGTTGCCCTTGTTCAGGGGTTTGCCATTGCCTTGATGATTCCTGTTACTGCTGCACTCTGAAATACCCAGGCTAGCTTGGGTGCCCTTATCCCCTTTTTCTCCCTCCACTCTGCTGGAAAGACCTGGTGCATTCCAAGGACATGTGTGGGATGCATGTAGAGCAATGGGTGGCAGGTTGAATGAACTACGAATGAACCAAGGGCCAAATCTCCTCATGCTGACCCCTCTGAGATCCCTGCCCTCCCCCAACAGCACTGTCCCCTGTCTGCAGGGTGGGGAGGTGCCAGACAGCCTCTGGCTGGTGGAGGCCAAAATTTTTTTTTTAAATAGATGCAGCTCCCTCTCCCTTGCTGTAACTGGGGATAGGGGTGGGGGAATGATGGGAAGGGTGGGATGAGGATGATGAGGACTGGGGCGTGATGAAGATAAAAGGATGATGAGGAATGCGGGATGGCGGGGTTGGAGAGTCACAGCCCCCAGGCTAGGCCCCACCAGATTGATATGGGGGGGTATCTTCTAAAAAATAAGTAGTGATAATACATAACGATAATAAACAAGTAACAATAATAGATAGTCCGGATCCCCAACACAAAAGCCCTCCAACCCTAAAACAGACGCCCTACCCCCGGCAGGTGGTCTCCAGAAGGACCCTCCCCTTATTTGCATAAGAGACCCCGCCCACCGCTCCCGGCGCGGCGCTCCCGGCCGCAGCGATGGGCGGGGCCAGGGCGGCGGCAGCCAATCAGCACGCGGCGTTTTCCGCGGGAATTCCGAATTTCGCGGCATGGGTTTTGGCGCTTAAAAAAAAACCGGAAAAAAAAAAAAAAGAAGAAGAAAAGAAGAGCTCGGGGCCGGGCGCGATCGGGCGGGAGTGGAGCCGGGCACGGGGGTCCCGGCCCAGGCGGGGCCGCTCTCCGGTCGCCCCGGCCCCATACGGGCCCAGTGCGGCAGATTTTTGGGGCCAAAAGCGAATTTTCCACGGTTTTCGGCGGTATCGCCACCGCGTTCTTCTTTTTTCGGGGGGAATCTGGGGACCGGCCGGTGTCACCGCCTGCCGGAACGCCTCCCCACTCTCCCAAAATGCCACGGCTGAGACTGTGACCCCACTCCCGGCTACGGAATCGCGGGGTGCTTCTTACCCCCTCCCCGGGCCGGGCTTCTCAGAAAGGACTTTGCAATGCTGCGGCTCCCCAGGGGAGTGTCCCCCGCCCCGGGGAGGGGGGGTACCGCCCTCCCGCCCCCCCCTCCCCACCCTCCCCACCAACGCCCGAAGAAGGTCATGGCAGTGATGGTCTCCTGTGATCCGGGGGCTTCCAGCCTGGGTACCCCCCCGTTATCCACTGGCTGTTTCGCCCAAGTCAACACGCCAGCGGCTGTCAGCGCCCCCGCTTCACAGGGCAGGTGCCTCTGTGACACCCCCCAAGGCCCCGAGCTCAGGACCCTCTGTTCAGCCTCGGCGGGGCGGCTGCCGGTAAGATATCTGCATCCCGTCTCTTCCTCGGGTATTGCTTCGGGGGCACGGGAGGCTGGGGATGGTGCTGGGTGGGGAGCAAAGGGTGGGTGTACAGCATGTACATCCGCCTCCCATATTTTGCAGTTTACATTGGAGCCTGCACCCTCTAATGTGTCTTTCTGGGAGTGGGGGAGGGTGAGGTCTGAAATCAGAAGTCGCAGTGAAATGGCTCAGATGTTTCTCAACTTCCCTTCGCCCCTGCGTGCCCGCGGCTCCAGCTTCCTCTTTTTGGCTTTTTTCGGCCTCATTTCCTCTCTCCAGCTTGCAGAAAGTCCAGGTTGTGCCTCAACACCCGGTCAGCAATCCCAGGCCCTTTGAGAAGCCCTTTCTATGGTGGGGAAATGAGGAATGAGTACAGGCAGAGCCCCTGCCTGCTCTGGGTGGGGGGCACCCCCCCTGCCCACTGGCTCTCCCCACTTTGGGGCTGTGACCCATCACCCGGGGAGGTGAGGTGACAGGAACAGGGCGCTATCTAACCTTTGTTTCTTCCCGTGCTACAGTGGTGCTGGCGATAGCTGTTTTTAGGGGAGGGGGTCTCATCCACCATGGATCACCTCAAGGATTTATAGCTCAGACCCTGATGCTGGGAGTTGTGTAGAGGGTTGCTGTCCCATATGCCTGCCGCCAAGCTGCGGGGTCACGGCTCTGTTTATAAAGCCCAACACTAAGCTACAAAGCTAGCCCTAGCAGAGAAAGTGAGGCACAAGTCGGGCACTGGCCCCATGCCCACTGTCAGGGCACACAGGAAGCTCTACCCAGCCTGTCCCTGCTCCCGGAGGAGTCGGCAGTGGCGGCGGCCCTGCCAGCAGCTGGCATTTAATTCCTGCCTGCTTTAGCCTGGGCACACATCCAGCCCTCACTGTGAGCCTCTGTTTTCCTCAGTCCTGGGAGGGATCCCAGACCCTGCTAACACTGATTTAGTGTTCCCAAAGCTTAATTTATTTATTTATTCCTCTCCTCCCCACTCCCCCCCTTCCCAATCCCTGATGCCTGGTGCCAGCTGGGGACATTGCCACTGCAGAGGGAGAGGGAGTCTCTTTGCTTCCTCCTTTGTGCCATGGTTGGGGGGCTGGATGCGGCTATTTAGAGTCCCATCCTGGGGACTTTGGGACCACCTGTCTCCTCTCCAGCCTCTTTGTCTCCGAACCACATGATACATCCTGCACTTCCAGGATCTGTTGTTTAAGAAGACACCATCATTGCTACCTTTCCCTTAAAAACACCCCACAGACTCCCAGTACCATTTCTGTGGATGTGCAGAGCTGTTTTTGGGCTAGTGGCCCCTTTGTCATCATCATCATCATCATCACCCACTCCAGTGCTCAGGGTCCCCTAAATGTGGCTGCAGAGGTGAGGTGGGGGGGGAAGTCTTATGTTACACCTGGGGACATGAAGTGTTATAAAAAGATAGCATGAAGTGCTTGTCCTTAAGTGACATCTGGGATTAAGAGGTTTTGGGCTAACGGCCTCTTTGTCATTACCACCCTCATCACCCACACAAGGAGATGTTCTGCATTCTGCTGCCTGCAACCGTCCCTTGAACAGGGTCTGCAGGCTCATGTGACAGCTGAGGACATGACTTGCTCCTCTCTTCCCCCCTTGGTGGCTTGCAAGAGGCATTCCCACCTCTCCCCATTTCCCGCTGCCATTATCCCATTCGTGGTGCTGAAGATATTAATTATTTCCAGCCCTGGTATGGCACTTGCAGCCCTGACAGCTGGGGTTCCTGCCGCACACACCCTGTTTATGGCACAACCTTTGTGTGCAGAGCAGAGGCAATCAGATACCAGCGTTTCCTCCCAGTTCCCAAGCAGGGCAATTGTGGCCGCTCCTACCAGCTTTGTGCCACATGAGTGATCTGAGATCACATGGAGGAGCCTATCAGCCTGCGGGAAAGCAGAATGAGTTTTCTCTCACCATCCAAAAAAGCCTTAAATTTCCCATACTCTCCAATTTGAGGGTTCTGGAGTAATTAAATGTGTTTTCCTCCAGGGAAAAATGTGTATTTTGGAGTGGTTTTAGCCCACGCCAATCCCATCATCAGCATTTGCCCATCTATGGTCTCTATAGGGACTTACGACTAAGCAAGAGCACTGGAGGGAGGGGTGTTTCTGCCATGGGATCCCAGCTTCCCACCCTGAACAGGGACAAGAGTCCTCTGTGGTTCTGAATGAGCTGGCAGGGCTGAGCTGTCCATGCAAAGAGCACCCAAGACTGGCAGCCCCTGTGGGTGCTTGGTTATGGGAGAACCTGCTCAGCAGCACCCCAGATTCTACAGGGGTGACATAATCCCATCCCACCTTGATACCATCAAAGGGTTTTCTGCATGGGCAAAAGGGGGAATTTTGTGGGGAGGGTTAGTGATTGTAGGGAAGTAGTGATTGTGCTGCTGCCCTTGGAGAGGGGCTTGTTTGGCTATGGCTTTTAAAGCCAGCTCCTCTCTGCTGGGGAACATCTCCTGGGATGGGGCTATTGGAGGGGATGCAAATGTTGGCTGCACCCCAGAGTAGGAAGCAATACTTGGGGTGAGACTACTGTCTTCCTCCCAGTGCAGGGTGGTCTCACTGTCTCCCAAATCTGGGATCAGCCTCCATTCCCCTGTCTGCATCTCGTGGACTACTAGCCCTCAGCCACCCCAAGGCAGTGCAGGCTGCACCTGTTGGGGTCTGACCCAACAGCCCCTTAGCACAAGCAAGCAGCAGGATCCTGGAGTGCCCCGTGGCTCCCGCCTGCTCCGAGTGCCCAGCCCCAGGCGCTGCGTTCCCACGCCCCCGTGGGGGCGGTGGGACTGGTAAAAGGGGGAAATAGGGGGAGCCCCATAAAAGGCCGGGCAGAGCCCAGGCAAGCCCAGAGAAGGCAGAGGATGCTGCTGAAAGGGAAGGTTGGCAGGAGGAGCTCTCTGCGGGGGGGCTGAGGGGTGCTCTGATGCTTGGGCTGGGTGCAGGGTGTAGCCCCTGGCTCCAGGGCTGGGCTCAGGGCTGCTTGGCAGACAGAGCTGGCAGGGGGCCCAGCCTACCCCCTCACTGCCTTATATACACCTGAAATTTTGGGGTCAAGCCTGATTTCCCACCCCCACCACCATATTGCAAGTAGATAGTGTGTTCCCACATCCTGGGGAGCCATGGCTGGGGGCTGGCACGTGGCGTGGGGTGGTCCTGCTATGTCCTGGGAAGGGGGTCTTTGGGTTTAGTCCCTGCTCCCCTACCTCCTGTGGTTCATCTCACACCCCCCTTCCCCCAGTGCTGGTAGGGTGCTGGCAGCCCCTCGCTGTGCCCCACTCAGCTGTTGTGTGCCTAATCCTGTCCGGCTCGGGGGATGGCAGCTGGGTCACAGGAGGGAGCCCCTTGTCCATTGTCCCTTGCTGGTGGGTGCCAGAACTCAGGGTCCTGCCGCTGTCTGAGCCCCCCACCCCCCAAAACTGCACCTGGGGAAGCAGAGGTCCCCTTTTATCCCCTCCTACACATGGGGAGGGGGGATTCAGGGGCTTTGGAGGTGTGTGGAAACACCAGGACTTGCCATGGGTTGCTCTGTGCCTCATTTTCCCCATTGCTTGGGGTAGGTGGGGTGCAGCTGATCTCCCTTACAGTGATGGGAACATACATTGGCCATGGCCATCCGTGCCAGAGAAGCAAGGGATACCGGGGGGGCAGGGTGATGCCGCCCTCCCATGCTGGCAGGTGGATGGGGTCTGACATGAGGCAGGTGTTTCCCATGCGCTTGGCATTCGCCGCTGTGGTGCCGGCAGCTCCGGGGCAGATCCGGGGGCACGAGGCTGGGGTTGGAGGCAAGTTCACTGGGAAAAACCTGCTCAGGGAAGGGTGGGAGGGAACAGATTCCCACAGGAGCTCAGGACCAACCTGGCTCCCTCGGGGGGAGGAAAACAGCCCCTGGCGCCTCTCCTGCCAGCCCCCTCGGATGGGAACGAGGCCGAGGTGCCCAACCCTTCCCTGCAAAGTGCGTTGTGCTCCCAAGGGAGCCGCCGTCGGAGCCGGCACAGGGACCTGGGTGCCATGTGGGATGTACTGGGGGGGACCCTGTGGGACAGCCCGGCTTGGGAGCAGGTACTGGTGGGGGGTTGGGATGGGGCTGGGGGGCTGCTTTTTGCTGCTGAGCCAAAGCATTCCTCCCACAAATCACCCTGTGCATGTTTGTGGGTGTGAAGGGGTCCTGGAGGATTTGTTTGCATTGATGAGGGGGGGGGTGGCAGGGTTGGTGATACCCTCCAGTTCTCCTGTGAATTTACTCTGCTGCATTTTTCCCTGGGTCCCTTCTGTCCAAATGCTGCTCAGGGTTCCTTGCCGGGGGTTTCAAGGAGCTGCTTGCCCTGGTGAGGAGACAGCAGGAGCAGGCATGTTTTTCTTCCCTCCCAGAACCCAGCATATCTCTCACCACAGTTTCCCTCCAGCTGGGTACATGTGTCCAGGGCATCCAGGCGTCCCACGGGGTGTGAACCTGGCTGGTCCCAGGTGTGCTGGTGGCAGCTGGGTGCCCTTGGCTGCCTCAACCATTACCCTGTGGGAGGGAGGAAATGAAATCCTGCACCCCAGTGGGCCAGATGGCAGGGTGGGAGGGTAAGAATCTGGCTTTGGAGCCACTGCATTCCCAGGGGTCAGCCTGTGGAGCCCTGCCAGGAGCTGGGGGTGAGGGGGAATCCCAGTGGGTTCCCTGTGACTGCCAGGGTGTTCAGGAAGTCATGGGGGTGACGGGACCCCTCATCTCCTCTCCATCCAGTTCTCCCAGTGGCCTCTCACATTGCTGGGTGCTGCTGTGCCCCTTCCCAGAAGGACTATTGCAACTGGATGAGCCTCTTGCAGGATTCCCCCACCCCAGGATGTGGCACCCAAGGCTTGGCTGATGGCCCAGGGGGGATCTGGGGAACTCAGAGGGATGTCTGGCTTGGCCACAATGCAGGGTTTTCTCTCATGCTCCAGGCCAAGAGGAAGCTGGACCTGGAGGGCCCCGAATTTCGCACGCCCAAGGGGAAGGGCTGGACACTGGGACAGGTCCCCAGCCCCAGGAGTAAGTGATGCGGGGTAAGATGGGGCAGGGGAAGCTGGGGGGAGCAGACCCCACTTCTCTTCCCTCTTAGAACCATGTCCCCTCTAGCACTACCTCATGTCACCTCCAGCCCATATCCCACACAAAGGAGAGCATGGGGAGGGTCTCTCAAGTCCATTCCAGTGATACCTCTGTCCCATGGACCTGGCCAAGGAGAGGATGGGGAGATCTCTTGTCTCCAACCCTATGTAATCTCTGTTCCAGATCTGGCACTAAAGAAAAGAAAACATGACATCTCATGTCTAGTCCCGCGTTACCTCCATCCCACATCCCAAATTAAGGAGAGTTGGTGTGGGGGGTCTCTTGTTTCCCCACAGCCCCCAGATCTCCTGGGGAGAAGACTCGCTACGACACCTCACTCGGGCTGCTCACCAAAAAATTCATCCGTTTGCTGAATGAGTCTCCCGACGGTGTTGTGGATCTGAACCAGGCTGCTGAGGTGCTGGAGGTCCAGAAACGTCGCATCTACGACATCACCAACGTACTGGAGGGCATCCAGCTCATCCGCAAGAAATCCAAGAACCACATCCAGTGGATGTAAGTGATGGGGCAGGGTGGGAGACACATGGCCTGGGGACATGTAGGCTGTGCTGTGCCATCATTCAGATGCCCTCTCCGTTGGCAGGGGGACGGGGATCTTTGAGGATGTAGCAACGGTGGTGAAGCAACAAGTGCTGCGTGGGGAACTGGCCGAACTGGCTAGGACAGAGAGGATGCTGGACCAGCTCATGCAGGACTGTGCCCTGCAGATCCAGCAGCTGGCTGACAATGAGACCAATCAGAGATATCCTTGCTGAGGGAGATGGGAGGGAGGGCAGGGTCTTGGTGGGCATCTCTCTGAGCCCCTTCTTCTCCAGTTGGATTCCCCTGGGCTTGGGGGTGTTTGGAGGGATGTGAGGGTTATGTCCTGCTTGCAGCCCCTCCTTTTCCTATACCTCATCCCTGTCCACGCTGGCATATGTCACCTACCAGGACCTTCGTGCCATCAGCAGCTTCCAGGAGCAGACAGTGATTGCTGTGAAGGCTCCCCCTGAGACACAGCTGGAGGTGCCAGACTTCAGCCAGGTGTGTGTGGGTGCTGCTGGATCCATGCCACACTCGATGGGTCCCTCTGAAGTGTCCCAAGGACACAGCTCAGCATGACCCTGGGTGGTTTTGGGGTGTCTCCATGGGGGTGTTTGACCCTGAGCTGGTCCTTCAAGGGTTGCAATGTCCCAACTGGATCCCTCATGGATTGGGGCTAGTGGAGTGGGATATGGGTGACCTTCTGGGTGCCTCTTCTGAGCCTTACTCTGCCCTCCCAGGAGAACTTCCAGCTTTACCTGAAGAGCACCAATGGCCCTATCGAGGTATACCTCTGCCCAGAGGAGATCACGGAGGAAAGCCCCACCAAGGACCACCCTGTTCCCTCTGCTGCCACCTCCCCACAGGACCACTCCATACCTCTTCGCCTGACGAACAGCACTCCATCAGCCACACAGCCAGCCCACCCCCTCTCCCAGAGCTGGGGGGGCACAGGAACTCCTCTCTCACCCCTATCTCTGCCCCTCCCCATTCAGGGGGGACCCAGCTCACTGCTGGAGATGGAGCCTGGGCTCCTAGGCTCCCCTGCCCATCTTCTGCAGCAGACAGAGGACCAGCTGCCCTGCACCCCTTCCCACCTGGACTTGGGACCCTTCATTACCTTCTCGCCCCCCTTGGAACAGGATGACTATCTCTGGGCACTTGAGGGTGAGGGTGTCACAGATCTCTTTGAGACATATGACCTGGGAGACCTGCTGAAGCACTGAGTGTCCCCCCAGTCCCCATTGCCTTTGTTCCCTCTGGCCACTTGTGTCCTGAGCATGTGGGATCTCTGTGGGGTGACTAGAGAGATTGGGTATGTTGGGGAGCAGGGTTTTCTGAGGATGGGGGAGAGAGGAGGCCTTGTGTTGCTCACTCTGTGTGGCTTCTCTGCACTGTCCTGGGTTGGTTGTCACCTCACTGGGCTCTGAGAGTGCCCTGTGATCCATCCAGGCCTGTTCCAGCATCCCCCAATAAATCCATGGGGCACCGACACTTCCCACCATAACCCCCCACCACTCTGGGGATGCTGGTGTACTGGGAGTGCCTTTGGGTGCCCCACATGAGTTAGGGGTGTCCTTGGGTGGCAGAGAAACTTCTGCCCAGAATGTGCTGTGTCATGGTTTGGGGTCAGTCCAGTTGCTCCTCAGTTAAACCGGTTCTTCATGGTCACAACAGGTCATTTCCAGTGGCATTTTCCCCGCCACGGCTGGAATATCCTTAAAATACCATTGAGGCAGCAAAGCTGAAGTTACCTTTGGGTGAGGGAAGCTCATGTGGCTCTGGCAAATCTCTGGCCAGGACATGGAGCCATATTCCCTGAGGGGCTGCAGCCCCTCTGCCCCAGTCCACACCAGCTCCCTTCAGCCTCTTGGAGTTACTGGTGCTGGCAGTATCAAAACTGGAATGTACTGGGAAGAGGTATTTCTGGGGGAGGCAATGACCTGCAGAGAGGGGCTTGGGAAACAGCTTGGGACAAGCCCTGGTACATGGGGTAGGATAGGGCTTTTAATTGTGCCATTCTTTACTAAATATCTGTAATTTTTGCAGTGTATTTATCCGGGTTTCCCCTTTGCTGTGGGGCTGTCAGGGCTGGGAGGGGTTGGATTTGTCAGTGGGTGTGTTTAAGTTGTCCTTCCTGGGGTTGTTGGTGCTCCTGTAGGTTGGCTCAGGAGATGGTGTGGGTGATAATATATTTTGGCCTGGAAAAAGTTGATATTTTTTGCTCATGTGGGGTTGAAATAAAATAAAATGTTGGAGTTTTAAAGGGCTATATTCCTCTAAGCAGCAAAATGTTGGAATGGTTTGGGTGGAGACAGGAGCTGAGCTGGTTTTGCTGTTGTTTCCATGGCCTGTTTAGGGGCTTTTAAACTCGCCAGCCTGCTCTGCAGGCACTTGTGGAGAAGGTGTTTGAGATGAAGTTTTGACTGGAGTGAGAAGAATGGGTCTGACCTGCTCAGATTGGTGATTTCCAGCCTAAATCTGCCTGGGATGAGCTTTTGCCTGAGCTAGAGCCTCTCCAACCAGGAGTGTGGGAAAAGCCAGGGCTGGGGGCCAGCTCCCTATGGATCTTGGGGCTGGATGGGCTTGGGCTTGTGCACCCCAATTTGGGGTCTGCAGAGCAAGTTCCTGGGGGAGCTGTGTCCATGTAAGGTCCTTCCCCATGTGTCACACATGACCTGGGGATGCCAGCAGTGCTGGTGGCAAAGTGATGGTCAGTGGTACAAGGGGATGTCCTGTGGCATGTGGTGGTGGGCAGTGGTACCCGAGTGATATCTGGTGGTATCCAGTGATGGCTGGTGGTACCTGATGTTCACTGGTACCAAATGATACCCGGTGGTACTCAGTGATGCCTGGTGGTACCTGGTGATGTCTCGAACCTGGGATCATGGCACATATTGGCATTGCATAATCTGGTGATGTGGAGGAGGAGGAGAGGCCCGGGCCAGGTGAGCGCGGCGAGGGGCACAGAGTCCGCATCCCCACGAGGATGAGTGTCCTACAGCGCGTAGCGGGATTTCCCTGTGCCCTTGGTGCCCCGCCCCGCAGCGCCCAGGCCAGCCAGGAGGTGGCAGGGCCACACCAGCCAAGGGACCGGAGGCACCGGGCAGGGGACGGGGCACCGGGGGCTGCCCGTCTGCCGAGGGGCTCCTATCCCGAATCCTCCTGCTCCACTCCTGCCTGGCTGCAGCCTTTTAACCCTCTGTCTGCCAGAGCCCTGCCGAGGGAGATGTCCTGGGAGCTCGGCAGATGTCGGGTCCCCCCAAACGGGGGGAGGACAGCCCAAACCGTGGGCTTGCCTACTTGCCGCTGCCAGAGGGATGGAATCCTTCAAGCGTAGCCGTTCACCCAAGGCTTGTGATGGCTCTTCCTGTACCCCAGTCCCTCTCAGCACCTCAGTAACAGCGTGTTAGAGGAGGGCTTGGGCTGGCCCTGGTTAGGCACAGACCTGAGTTTTACTGAGCCCCACTCCTGGCTCAGTAAAAGGGTCGAGAGTCTGATCCACCGTGGATGAGCGGTGCAAGGGGCATGGGGAGGGGTCTGCAAAGCCCCATTGCACCCATGTTGGCCTCTTGAATGGCAAACCAGCCCCAGTGAGGCTTTTTGCCCCTTTCTGTTTCAGTTTGTCACCAAACCCAGCCCTGCAGTTGGATTTGCTCTGTGTCTGTTCAACCTAATTGCCTGCTCCTGAGGTGTCCTGGCTTCCTCGTCCTCAGTGAAGAGCAAATAAACAGGAATGGGACACCAAATTCCATTGAGAGGTGGACCGAATGAGGGGACAGGAGAGGGAACAAAGAGGTCTCCTCCAGCAGGACAAAAAGACAAAGGCTCCAGTAGTTATCCCCTGTCCAAGGACTGTCCCCCCAGGGTCCTAAGGAGGGCAAGGTGGGGGTGACCACCAGTTAAACGGTGTTTGGAGTGGACTGGGCATAATCCTAAACTGCCACTGTGTGTGTCTCCATCTCCTATCAAGATGGGGAGAGGTGGTTGCCGGGGTTCCTGGGAGAGGTGAGTACTGGAGCGCTGAGGTGAGGTGGGTTCCGGGCAGAGATGGCTGCTGGAATCCCTGGGTGTTTAGGTTAGGTGGCTGCTGGGTGCCTCGGAATGCGGGGTATTGGCGTTAAGGGGGTGCTGGTGCCTGGGAAAGGTGGGTATTGGGGTTAGGGAGCTGCTGGGTGCCTGGGAAAGGTGGNTATTGGGGTTAGGGAGCTGCTGGGTGCCTGGGAAAGGTGGGTATTGGGGTTAGGGAGCTGCTGGGTGCCTGGGAAAGGTGGCTGCCAAGGCAAGGCTGGGGGTGCGGATCCACCCGCACCGCAGGGTTTTCTCTTCGTCCCAGCACAGCACGGGGGAACCCGGCACCCACTACCTCCCGGGATGGGGGTCACGGCAGTAGCTCTTGGGGAACACTGCGGCTCTTCGCCTTTAACGTGCGGACGGGCGGGGCCGCCGCGTGACGGCGGAGGGGCGGGAGCGGGGCCGGGAGGCTCGGAGCGCCCCCGGTGCGTGCGGGGCTCCCGGTGCGGGGCTCCCGGTGCGTGCGGGGCTCCCGGTGCGGGGCTCCCGGTGCGTGCGGGGCTCCCGGTGCGGAGCGGCGCTCCCGGTGCGGAGCTCCCGGTGCGGAGCGGCGCTCCCGGTGCGGCGCCCCCGGTGCGGGCGCGGGCGCTGAGCCGGCACCCTGGGGCTCCGCAGGGGAGGCGCTCCCCGCTCCCCCTGCCGCCGCCCGGTGCTCCCGGTGCCCCCCGCACCATGCCCGAGCAGCTCAGTGTGGCCGACTTCTTGGCCGTTGCCAGCGAGGACCTCAGTTCCTCGGCCGCCGCCTTTGCCTCCAAGATGCAGAAGTGCCGGGGGGCCGTGGGGGCTCTGGAGGAGGTGAGCGAGGCCGAGGGGTGTGGACGGGGGGTCGGACTGTGCATCCCGCCCGGGAACATTCCCCGCATCCCGCCCGGGAACACCTCCGCACCAATAGGTGCTAGTCCCTTGATGCTTGCGCCTCCCTTGGGCTTCTGTTTTTTCGGGCCCCCCCCCTTTCACCCCGAGACTACGCTGGTCATCCTAAACGGGTAGTTTGGGACCCTCGGATGAGGGGGCCGTTTGCATCTCCCTAGCGTACTTTATGGAGGGCTACGCCTGTAGAAAGGAGCAAAGGCTTCTTTAAAGCTCCAAGTGCCCCCCGGGGCCAGGACATACCGCCCACCACCCCGAAGCCAGGGAGGCCTATTTCCTTATTTCTAGGGCCAGGGCATCCCCACCTGCCCCTCCTGGGAATCAAGGCATACTTCCCCGGGGCCAGGGCATCCTTCTTTCCCACCGGGACCAGCACACCACCCCTCTCCCGGGGACCTGGACATGGCCCCAGAGAATCAATCCCACATTTCTATCCACTATCGAGCTCCTGTGCTGGAGCCAGCCCCGATGGGATGTGGTGTCGCTGGGGGGGTCTCCTCCGTGATCAAATCCAGGGGAGTATTTTCAACCTCCCCCCAAAATCATCGGCAGCTTTTTGGGGAACGGCAGAGGTGGTGGGGCACCTCCATCCTCCTTCTCTCGCCTGGAATAAAGGCAGTTTCCAGCTGGTCCTGTGGCTTTTGCCAACTCCTCTTTGCTAAGGAATGACTTTGAAGGAGAGCCAGGGCTGGCAGGGAGTGGGGGGCCCCCAGTGCCAGGGCTGCTGGGATACATGGGGGCAGTGGGATGGGTGTCCCAGGCCTGGCAGCCTGGGAACACACCATGTAGTATCCTTGTCCCCATCAGCACATGCTGGTCACTGTCATGGATCCTCTTCCCGTGGGGATGGGGGAGGCAGCTCTAGCCAGGAGGGAGCAGCAGGAATTTTGTTTGGCTGCTTGGATAGGCTGTAGTTAAGGGATGCAGGGATGGGGAGAGATGCATCCCTCAGGAATGTGCCGTGCAGGGCACAGGGCTGAACCCTCCATGCCACTGGAGGCTGTGGGGAGGAGGACAAACTGCTGCTGGACCTTTGGCATCCCCTGGTCCCAGCACGAGGGGAGGAGGGAAATCTGAGCAAACCAGCTCCAGGCTATCTTTGGAGCCCCAACATGGGGATAGCATGAGGCAAGGGGGATAATCAGTGGCGGATTTGGGGATCACTGGGGGAGAGACACTCTGTGACCAAACCAAGCCATAGTCTTTCCTGTCACCACCCCAAATACTGCTTGGTGAGCAGGAGGGAGTGAAGGATGCTGGTCTAACTCCAGTGGCTGCTGGG